ATCCCAAATACTAGTAATTTGGGATTTTGGCATCCCAAATCCCAAATGATTTGGGATTTGGGCAACACGTATAATAAGGTTTACCTAATAAAAGATAAAATTGATAATATATTACTTAATCCTGTTCATGCAGAATGATTAAAACATTATAAATAAAGGCATCTTGTAGAACCTTGTATAATAATCACCTCAAATTAGTTAAAGTTTAATTAAACACTTGAACACAAATTTTATTATATAAAGAACTTCAATTTTTTCAAGTTCTATAAAATTTTACAAATCATGAAACTTCAACTTTCAGAAATTCAACGTGCCAGATTATTAGAACTTTATCAAAGTTTACAATTAGATTATACTTCTGTTAATATACAAATTGTTGTACAAAGTAGTTCTCAACAGACTTCTTTAACAATTCCTACTTACTATCGATGAACACAGTTTCAAAACTTCAATAGATATATTAATGATACATGTAATGCTGAAGATGACCTTGATCTTAAATTATATGATAAAGAAGATATTTTATTACTTGTAAGTATTGTTATTTATACTGCAAAAACAAATGGACAACGACTCTTTGCATACTCAAAATTCTGGTCTTTATTATTGAGAGATCTTGTTAAATGACAATTAACCATGAAATAACTAAGACAAGAAGTTCAACAAATAACTGATCAAAATAGTGCTTGATTTTTAACTGTTACAAATAAAGCATAGAGATTATTGTTTGTGCTTGGTGAATTTCCCATTCCACAATTCAGATATATTACCTCTAATTGGTTATATTATTTAACTAGTATAGATTTTGATTATTTTATTTGAAAATGTAAAGAACAACTTTTTCAAAATATGGAGTATTTCGTAAGAGCTCAATACTAAGGAGGAAATGTTATAGAATATTAATTTAGTTTATTTTTATTATATTATTTATTAATGTATTTATTATTTATTTATAATTTATGTAAATCAAAGATCATGTAACAGATAGTTCATCAGATTAACTACCAGGTGAATCACCTAGGTAAATTACTTGTTGCATGTAATAGGCAAATTACCAGGTTAATTACCTCTTGCTAAAATTGGTAAATTATTAATTTGATAAATCATTACACACAACAAATTAAAGAAATATAAATATGAGTTTTTCCTGATCTGAGAAGAAAAATTCAAGAAGTTCTAAAGTTTCAAGAGTTTAAGAGATCAGAACAGAATTGTTTCTTTTAGGTAATATATAATTTACTCCTTTAATATTTACCTTTAATTTTATAATTTCTATTTTTATATTATATCTTTTTTTTTTGTTTTAGTGAGGTCTTGTCTTAAATTTATTAATTAGAAAAAAAGAAAGTTTTTTATATTATATAAGATTACATAATACGAAATATACAACTTATTCTAATATTTATTTGAAAAGATTAAACTCGAACTAAATCATAAGAGATAGACTTGCAACCTATTACCTAATAAATAAACTTGTCTTCAACATATTAAAATCATACTGAACAATCTATTTTATATACTTCTGTCTATTTAACTCTTTCTTTAATAAATTTATAAAAAAATAGGCTAACTATATTATTGCATAGATTTTTAACTATATTTTTACTATTTTTTTTCCATACTTGTATTAGAATTATTATTATAAATATTACTATTATTATTGTTAATGTTTATATTTGTGACCTAGTTATTATTTGACAAAATTAAAACTTTACGTTTATTTCTATTTCGTATGTTATTTTCTAATTCCTACTTTTTTATCTCATTATAACGTCTCACCAATATATTCGTTCTTATATATTATTTGAATTTTTTATCAAGTTTCTAACTATTTTGTTCGTTTCTTCTTTGTTACCAACTATAAAATGTATTATTTCTATTAAAGAGCTTGGTACAAGGCCAAATACTATATCAATAAATGAGAACACATTTCCATCTCTTGTCAAAGATTGTGTTTCAATCTCAAGTTCTTTTAAGTTGTTTGTTGTAATTCTTATGTTTTTATCAAGGTTTTGTATTAACTCTTTAATAATTTGTTCTCATAGTAAATCTATAAATTTGTTTCTACACATTTTCATATCTACCAAGTTTTGAGTACAACTAAAAACATGATATTGTTTTTCTTTTCCATGTTATAACGAGGATATTTATCATCTTTGTATATATATAGGAAGTATTTTTTAAGTCTCTCTAATGTAGACAACTCATTGTTCATTAATTTTATATTAAAGGACCTTTGTCACGTATTATTTAAATTTGTTGTTTGTTTATCTATATAAGATAGTATTGTAGTTTGCTATGATGATTCCTAACAAATTTCTTTACTTTTATTGTTAGATACTGTCATTATATTTCTATTCAATAATTACCAATTAGCTGATTGTTTAGTTGCACTCAGTTTTTTTGTAAAAGTTCTCAAGGGTTTTTCTATAGGTTTTGAGTTCCAGCAACTAATTGCATTGATTAATACTAATGTTTGTAGTTCTGAACTGCAGTTTAGTTTGTTATAGCCTTCTTTTGTGAGTTTATCTATCAGATTATTAAATTCTATTCCTGAATATACCTTTATTTTAATAAATTCTAATTTAATCTTTTGTACAAAGACGATTTCATTAATTACTTTAAGTAGTGTCCAATTTTTAATTTTTGTATGATTTTTCTTATTATTTTTCGTGATACTTGTATATATATCAATTGTTGCCTAACTATCTATAAAGATTTTAAGGTTTAACTGTTTTGGTATAGTATAAACTGCAATTAGTACAGCCAGGATCTCTGCTCTAGTTGACGATATGAAATTCTCAACTCTGCTATTAAATGTAAATTTTATGTCATTATTAACAATTGTAATTTATTCACAGCCCATTATTAGTTTTTGATCTGTTTGTTGAGATTTGTATTATTATTATTTTCTATTAATGAACCATCTATGTATATTTTTATATCTTTGTTATTGGATAGTAGAGTTCAAATCTAATCTAATTTATCTTGGATTTTATTATTTGATCAAAAATTTGAATATTTATTATATATTTTTACATGATTATTAGTAGTATTGTCAATATTTATGTTTGATATCAGGTATGATATATTTGGTTAACCTGTTTGTTATTTAACTAAAATGTTATTTAGTCCATACTCAATTGCTCCCATTTCAAATTATAACTATAGTTTATTTTTCCTGTCAGGCATTGTTCTACAGAAAACTTTACTTTTAATTACATTAATTTTTATCATTTGTGAAATTTCTACTTTGATTAAATATATACTTTTGTTTCAAAGATCATTTGTTAAGTTATTATCTCCTTAGGTGTAACCCTGACATTTTTTAAGAAATGAAGTTTTTTCCTCATTGGTATTTTTTTCTTTGATATAATATATTAGGATGAGTTCATGGTTATTTATCACTTTGCGTCTTTTTTTCAGGATCACACTTTGATTATTGGAGTTTTGAGTTGCTACCCATTTTATTTCATTACTTTATTTGTCAATGTTTTGTTCACAGGTATTATATCTGTCTCTCAATCTCTTTTTAATCTCTTCATCTGATATCTGTCTTTTTGTTAGATTTAATAGAAGTCTTTTTTCGATTAGTTTAAACTATACATGTTCCCAAAATTGATTTTGGATTTTTGAGGTATTTCGACTTTTTGAGATTTATACAAAATCTATTC